CATGGTAAATCCTAAAGGAATTCTGGTAAATCCTCAAAGGTTTCTGGTAAATCCCAAAGGAATTCTGATTCGTCCATTTTCTAACAGACGACTGGTTGAATCTACCAGAAACCTTTTAGGATTCACCTATCCAACCTATCAGACTTTTTATTACAGTGTGATAATGCCCGGGCTTCTGCCAATACAGATTAACTTTGTCTCAGTTCGAGTTACTTTTTTGGTCCGTGTTCTTTTATCGCTAAAAGTGTCACTAAAATTTCTGAAGGATTCCTCTTGGCTGAAATCGATAAAAGGGAATTCGGAACGTGGGCCTTAATCTTTCTGACCTCTGAAGTCTAATTTTTAAAACTGGAAAGAGATCTGATGTAAGCTGAACCGAGATCAAAGTTAATCCGCATTGGTAGAAATGGGCGTGAGTTGGATTGCAGTTTCTCGTGAGAATGTACGTTACTGCGAATTTTAGAATGTCTTGGTCAGTCCATCCGAGGATCAGTACGAACTGTTGCTGAGGAGGCTGAGGGAGAGGATTCAGGATGGAGGCAGCGAGACGATCTTTGACATCGGCATCGCTGAAGGTCAGTACCGAAGAAGCTGCAAAAAAAAGAAGTTGAAACGCTTGATTATTGTTGGATACATTGTTCTGGAAGCCACTTAAACTTTTTGTCTGGCGCGATGCTCTCAGACGGATCCGAGGATGGATTGAAGGAAGACGAGTACGAAGCGTCGGTTGCCACTTTGCAGTCACTCGCTGCGACACTGGAGGCAGATTGCGTGCTTCTACGTCAGAGTAAAGCGGATCACGGTCTAACGGGGCAGTATCTGGTGAGAAGACGTTTAGATCGACAGGATTTCTTAGAGATCAGGTTTGTACTCGATACTGTAATTTTCGATTTACCGTTCTCGACGGTCTCAAGCCCGTATCTGACTACGAATTGAAATTAGATTGAAATTCGACCACTCGGAGCAAAGTTTACTAATCCCAGGGGTTTAGTGAGTTTTACTCCAATTGAGTAAATTTCAGTCTAATCCCAATCCGCAGTCTGACACGAGCTTTATGCCGTGGCTGTAAGAACTATGCTATAAAGTAACTATTTTTAGGGTCGCTGTAGTCGGTAATGTGGATGCTGGTAAATCTACCCTATTGGGAGTACTGACTCACGGTGAACTTGACAATGGACGAGGATTGGCGCGTCAGAAGTTATTCCGCCACAAGCACGAGGCTGAAACGGGGCGGACTAGCTCTGTGGGGAATGATATACTCGGATTCGATAGCGTCGGTGAGCATCGGCTCTCTGATGCACACTTTATGCGATTATTCGTCTACTATAGCGTCGTTTATATATTTACGTAGGTAACGTAGTGAATAAACCCGAGCACGGGTCGTTGGATTGGGTGAAGATATGCGAAAAATCCTCCAAAGTAATAACATTCATTGATCTCGCTGGTCACGAGAGATATTTGAAGACTACTGTGTTTGGAATGACGGGACATGCTCCGGATTTCGGTAAAACCCCCGTTGTTTCGTTACTGCAGCTACAGTAAAATCCGGCAGCGAGAACAACTCGATGAAAATACTTGTCAACGTTGCTCGCAATTGCGCAATTCGAAAGTACACGAGAATCTCAGTGCAAATGTTATTCCAGGTATGCTAATGATCGGAGCAAACGCCGGGATTGTGGGGATGACTAAAGAACATTTGGGGCTTGCCTTAGCGTTGTCCGTACCGGTGTTCGTTGTCGTGACGAAAATCGACATGTGCCCGCCGAATGTTCTGCAGGAAAATTTGAAGCTGTTGATAAGGATTCTGAAGTCTCCCGGCTGCAGGAAGGTCCCGGTTACAGTGAAGACCCCCGACGACGTGGTAGTTAGCGCTACTAATTTTGTTTCAGAACGGTTAGTCCGGTACATTGTTGGAATTCTATGTGGAGAAACGAAGAACAAATGTTGCTTATTAGAACGATATTCATTTCAGATTGTGCCCAATATTTCAAGTGTCCAACGTGTCCGGCGAAAATCTGAGTCTTCTCAAGATGTTTCTCAATTTATTGACTGCGAGAATTACTAGTCACGATGATGAACCTGCTGAGTTTCAAATAGACGACACATATTCCGTACCAGTACGTACGTTATACATGAATTATATAAACATCACGTAAATCTTTTTCCAGTATACGACGAGAGTATTAACGAGAATTGGAAATTACAGGGAGTCGGTACAGTAGTGTCCGGTACAACTTTAAAGGGTATCATAAAGTTAAACGACACGTTGCTATTAGGACCCGATCCGCTGGGTCGTTTTACACCTATTACCGTCAAGAGTATCCATCGGAAGAGGATGCCTGTTCGCGAAGTGAGAGGTGGACAGACAGCTAGCTTTGCCCTGAAAAAGATTAAACGTTCGCACATTCGCAAGGGCATGGTAATGGTCGCGCCCGCGCTTAATCCACAGGCCTGTTGGGAGTTCGAGGGTGAAATTTTGGTGCTGCATCATCCCACGACAATTAGCTCCCGTTATCAAGCAATGGGTAATTTATCGCTTTAGATGATCGTCGTTACATTCTTGCCGTGTAAATCAATAATTCCCAAAATAATTGCAGTGCACTGCGGCAGTATAAGGCAAACTGCTTCTATACTGTCGATGTCCCAGGATTGTCTGAGAACAGGCGACAAAGCCTTAGTACATTTTAGATTTATCAAACATCCCGAGTATATAAAGCCTGGGCAGAGAATGGTCTTCAGAGAGGGTCGTACTAAAGCAGTAGGAAATGTAGTGAAGCTCATACCGCATTCGAATAGTATAACTACGCAGGCGTCCAGAATTAATAAGCCGAATAAAACATCACAGAGTCGGCAGAACACAAGCATACAGGTATCGTAACACTTAATATGACAAAATTTTAATCGTCTTCAATATCTCATTTATCGTTCTTTCAATTCGAAGAACCGTGTAAACTTTTGCCATTCTCATTCGTTTTAATGAAAATAATAAAAAATACGGCGAGATCTAATTTCGCTGTTTTAGACATTGGAATTGACCGAAACTGATTCGATGATTGAGGCACAAACGGCTAAACAGGAGAATATGCCGCAGAAATCTGGGCCGAATCAGAATAAGAAAGGTAGAGGTCGAAGAGGAGGACGATCTCATAATGCTATCAACAATATTCAGCCTTTAACCGAGCAAAATCCTCCTGCAAAAGTGTAAGAGCTGTCAGTGTACAAAGAACACAGAATAATCAATGTTCTTATAACTTTCTGCTACATATGAGTTTCTCAGGATGTGATCTACAACATAAGACATAAAATTACCATATTCTTTAACAGCATGGCTGCGTTCAGCAGAGAAAGCTGCTTTGCAACTGTTCTACAATTTGTGAGTCTGATTGGCGTATGCTCTTAGATTGAGCCAAGATTAAGAGCCAATTAAGATTTTTACAACAGCTGCAAAGCAGCTTTCTCTGCTGAACGCAGCCATTTTTTCTTCTCTTGATATTAAAAAAAAATAGATTGTGTAGGAACTTATTCTCTATAACTTTATTAAACATTAACACATGATACAAATTTATTGCAGTACAATTTTCCACGTTTTGACCATTTTGATTAAAAAGATATTCTTTTAACAATGCGACAAGCTACAAGTCGGTATTTATAAATTATATTATTTTTATAAAAGATTCATGCAGATGAAATCAGCATCAGGAAATACATGACATACGTCCCCATCTCTATAATATACAGTGTATGAACACACATACATTTGTACAAGAGATCGTGCGAACTCCTTTTATCAACGCTTCTAGAATTTACAAATAAGACTTGAAGTATGGCCAATGCCGTGTATATCATAATAATCCCTCTTGTACGATAATTCTATGAAGAGAATATAATCACATATACTTCGTTCTACCTTGTAATACATTTTGCAACTTCAAGCAGAGATGTATCATACTATATTTCAAATATAAAGAGAAAATTTTCCATTGTATCAGACGTATCTATTCCCTGATAAGCACTGACGTGCTGCTGACTGTGGAGAAGGTTCGTTTCTTTCGCAAATTTAAGTCATTTCTATATAATTGAGCATACAATTGGGCACTTATTTACAATATAAATTATACACGTTGCGAAAATGTGATTCGAAATGTACTAAATAAATGAAAATCTTGTTTTACTACATGGTAAATTTTACAAGTTTTATTCTCCTTTGCAGCGATAAAAATTGCGAATTTTCATCGCTATTAAATTTATACAAATACAGGAACCATCTATAAGGTTTGGCAGAAAACTTACACGATCTATTGATAAATTGCAGACCTATCTCTGGAACTTATTTCTTTTGTTCCAATTGTCGCTTCAACTGATCCGCAATATTTTTCAGCTGCTGAATAAATTCCTGCGGACTAGAGATAGAGCGGCGCGTTCCGTTAATCATACCCGTTCTAATCAGTATGGACACTACGAATTGTGCGGCTTGTCTCATTGGTTTAGATTCTGCTAACCTGTTGATCACGTTCTCATTATTCAAGTACCGCAAAGTCAGGTACCGGATAATAGCTCGCAGAGGCATCCTCGAGGATAATTTCTCTATATTCTTCTCAGACCTATGCGCTTCACACCTTCGGCACTTCAAACGTACACGTGTTACGATACTTGAGCAGAAGTTCGCGCTTCAGTCTCAATTGCTTGCGTAAGGTTTCGAGCTTTTGCAACTGTTCCTCCTTGCTGTATTCTATCCCGGGTAATCTCTTGATCTGCGAAGAAGCGCGACAACGTCACATCGAGTGTATCCGAGCGAAAGGATAATGCAATTCTTACCTGCGATCTCGTCGAGTCCAGCTTCTTCTGCAATTCTAGGATCTTGTGGCTGGTATCCTGCGACTCCTTTGCCTTCTGCGAGGTGTCATGCGGATCCTTCTCAATGCTAAAAATCACAACCAATATCGATGCCTTATGACAACACATCGGAAATATAAGCGTTCACGAATCCGCACTTAATTGACAATCCGTTATGGTTTCTGTCCGCTGTGCGTTTATTTCTCAGGAATTTCAGTACAGTTCACAAAAATTCCACTCTCATATGTAACTTGGATGTCGTCCAATGAAAGAATAAACGTTTATAGATTTGCATTTGCGCGATATCGCGTTAATTGGTGAAACTTATCGCTCGATTAAACATTCCAGAAACAGCATCTGCGCTGGGTGACTTCAAAGTGATTTTAAAGTAATCCTCCTGAATTTTTACACTTAATATTTCTGGGCGTGCATAACCAAGGGTTATATACAGAAATACGCATGTATGCGTGTCCCTATATACAATACGAATACAAATAACGCAGAATATAAAACGGAATTGTCACGACATAAGGTATGAGCACACATTTGCCCTTTTCTTTTCGAGGCAATGTCTCAATTTATAGCTGCTTGCGCAACCATCATTTGTGCAATGTTTTTTACGAGCATATTTTTATATTGTAGAGAATAAATCGAATATGAGAGAGAGAGAGAGAGAGAGAGAGAACAGAGAAACTCTTTTGGATCCTCTGTAAAAGCGACGCTGAGAAAATTTTGATCCCGGTCGGTTTGTGGTTATGTTGAGGTTATGTGACTACCTCGAACGTCGACGGGTCGCTCGAACGCGGGAACAAGGCAGGACCGTCGGGAACACGTACCTGCGAATGATCTCGTAGATGAGCGGCAATATTTCTACGTCCAGATCGTCAACGGTGAACTGGGTCCTCAGCGAAATGTCCTCCGACTGCTCCACCGTCTCCATTGTGTCGAAATCATAAGAACAGGTCTGTTCTTTACATTGGTTACGTGCAGAAAGTATATCGCTCAGAGGAGGCAAAGCCACACTTACCGCACGTACAGCTTCTCTCTCATTGGTCTCATGGTGTAAAAAAACGATTACATCGTGATCAAAATATATTGGAACCTCACGTCATATTGTTTTAATTTGTACATATATCAATTCTGTAATTAAAAATAGGCTACGAGAGATTAGTTGGTCGAATACATCGATAGTATTTGTCATATTTCGCGTAATTTCTATCTATATGTATATTAAATAAAACGCGAAATTATTTGTAACCTATCCATTTTAACGTAACGGATCTACGAAATGTATCTACAAACTACGATCTAAAAATGTAGATTCCGTTACATTAATAAAAAACTTTTCACTCACCGACACGATGCGCAGCGGCGGAGTTGAATCTACGTTGATTCTGCAATGGCGCCCGATGCCTCCTCCTCCTCCTCTCAGGTGTCGTTGTCTCAGCTGTCCTCCAACACACTCGCGAATTTATACTTCCGTTTGTAAAGTCACTTGTCACTCTCACTGTATCCAAATGCCACTTTTTCGGCTCTCACTGTGTCCGATTGTCACAGAGTCCGATTGTCACAGAGTCTGATTGTCACAGAGTCCGATTGTCACTGAGTTCGAGTGCCACTACAAACTGTTCGATCACATCGTCGCACTGATACCCGCACAAATCACTGACACAAATCGC